TCATCTGGTTCTTGGTGATAAGAAGACAGTAAGGTCTGTAGATAGTAACAAGGAGGGTCATTCAATCAATCATTCCTCTGAAAAATGTAGATTGAGTTCCTCCCCTGTGCTATCATGTCAACAATTAGGAGCCAGGTAGTAAACAACACAGCCCTGGCCTTCAGAGAGCTTTCTTTAGCTAGAGACAGATGTGATGTGACAGAGTTCAAACAGTGATAAGAACTAGAAGAGGAGGGAGTGGTAGAGAGAGGCTGTGATGGAGTGAGTAACAAGAAACAAGATGGACATGGCGACCTACTCAGGAGGCAGCACCTGAGCCAATCTCAGAATGATCAGAAGGCAGCCAGGTGAAGAGTTAGATGAAGAACATTGACAGAACCTGCTAGAACCAGGAGTTCTGTATTAGAAAATCTTGACATCAGAGTTGGCAGTGACCACAGTGGTGGTGGCCATAGAGACAGGAAGTTGCTGAGTAGGATAATATGGGGTTGTATTGGGAGATAATCTAAGCAGCTGCTCCTAGCAGAAGCCGAGGACCTCCTGTAGGAGCCTACACCATGAGACTGTGCAGTTGAAGGGCTTTCTCTTCCACAGGTGTCCCCACTCTTTGGAACCATCTATGATGTTATAGTCCTGTTGGCCCATGCCCTAAACTGCTCTGAAAGCCAGGGGGCAGGCCTCCCAGGAATGCACTTAGGGGACAATACAGGAGCTCTAGATGTGAAGGGCTTTAGCCAGAGGAGCCAGACCAATAAGAAGGACTGGAGGCTGGGCCAGCATGTTGTCCTGGACTCGGATGGTCAAGGAAGCCACCTGGCCCCCACCCACGTTCCGGACACAACATCATGGCAAGTGCAGCCCCTGGGCAAGACCATACACTTTCCAGGAGGTGCCCTCCAGCCCACAACTCCAGCTGATGATTTGACCTCAATACACTATGTATGAGAAGAACTCATTATCTACTCATCTATCCACCAGCCACCCAACCATCCATCCATCCATCCATTCATCCATTTATCCATCCTTCTACACACCACCTATCCATTCTTTTACCCACCAATCCATCTACCCATCTACCCCATTTGTCCAGCTCTATCTGTTGCAGGCAGCCGAGTTACATAGAAATACAGGCAGTCAGACAGGGTCAGGCCTTTGAAGGAGGTAACAAAGGAGACCAGAAACCTTACAACTGTGGGAGGGATGAATGCTCCTGCTGTGAGCCAGAGACCAAACAAATGCTAACCTCCCTAAAGATTGGCATCCCTAGTAGATCATTACCCTGAGAAAGCCAGAAAAAATCCTTACCTGATGGCTACCAGATAAGGTCCTGTTTTTCATTCATGTTCCCTTGCTACGTGACTCCCTTCCCTATTTGGTCCCGGACTCAATCAATTTTACCTGAGCAATGGTGCTTGTAATCTCATTGGTTGACCATAGTTTTGTCCCACCCCACATCCACCTAAGCAAGTTCCCCATTTCTCCATCTTAGCCCCACATGGTTTTACACTATAAAAGTCCCTGGAAGAAACAGCTTCCTGGGAAACAACCCACTCGGGCCCCCCTCCTGTCCCTCTCTCAGACAGGAGCTTTCTTTCCTTCAATAAATATATTCTGCTCATAACCTCCATTTGTTCCTAAAATTCATTCTTCAGTTTTAGAGAACACGGACTTGTCCAGGTCCGGTCGGCAGATCATTTTTCCCTATGTCATTTAGAGGTTCCCTATATCATTTGGAGGTCACCTACCCGAGATCAGTTTTTCTTTCTGTATCATATCCATCCATTCATCACCCATCCATCCAATTCATCCATTCATGCACCCCATTTATCCATGTCTGCCCATCCACCTGCCACCCATCTGTCCTTCCAACCATCTGTCTATCACCCATTCATTCATTCATCCATCCTTCATTAAAGTTCCCCATATGGATATCTTAAATGGGTAGTAGGAACAGATGCAAAGAAGGAATATGATGCTTAATGGGGAAGACCAAGCCAGCAGCTCTGTGTAGCACTAGAGATTCTAGCTAGATGGGCAGGGCTAAAGCATCCACAGAGACTTGCCCATCTTCAGCCTCCTAACAGTCACCATAGCTCTGTTTCTAGGCCACTATCCTCCACAGGCCCTGCGGGAGAACTCAAATTCACAAAGACTCAATAGTCACACAGGGAAGCAGTGGCTGAGCTCACCCTGAGCACAAGTCTTTCAACTGCAAGTGCAGGATTTCTTTTCCTAGAGGAGAGTGAGAAACCAGGAGGCCCATACCTTTCTGACTCCTCTCATTCCTCCATCCTGTGCGTCAAATTTGATAAGCCTGTGCTGACATCCACATTCCTAAACATACAGAGATGTGCATATCACAGTGAGTGGGGAGGGCCGCCAACATTCCTTAGCACACACCTGGTGGCAGTTACTGCCCCTGGTGAGTAGCAGAGGTTTGACTGGGATTATTCACCTCCCTTCCCTGCCCCAAACCTTCTGTGCCCCTTCTTCTTCCTGACCTGGGCTCTCCCTATACTCTCAACCCCAGTCATGAGCCAGCCACTCCTTGCATTCCCTGGAGCACACACTGCTCTATTAGGCTGCCCTTGACTGTGCACTTTCTTCCCCTTGGTGTGCTTTTCTAGCCCTCTACCCCACCCAGTTTTGCCTAGCTAGATCTTCTTTGTCCCTCAAAACGAGTTCTGTAGTTAAGTTGAGACTTCTTACCCATAAGGAGGAGCAGTATGGCTCATAGTTTCATCTCTCTCCTGGACAAATGTGAGCCCTAAGAAATCTCCTGGGAGAGGGACAGAGGTGAAGCCTTCACCAGTGTTCATTTGGCCCATGCACTATGCTCAACTCAAGGGCTACAGGAGAGAATGGAACATTGCCCTACCACAAGGCAAGAATTCTGAGCTTCCCCACCTCTGGAGACAGCTAGGCAACGTGTTCCCATTTCCCAAGGGAGTCACCCAGGAAGTGAGTGTAGGAGTGGGGTGACTCCCACCTGTCCCTGCCTCCCCACAGGTACCTAGCCCCTGAGCAGCCGCCTGGCTCTGGCACTGACTTGTGTCCTGGCACTGGCTGGAGGGACCCTTACCGTCCTCATCAGGTGAGACTATCTTGGCCGGAGTCAGCTCTGGTTCTTTTTGTCCCCCTAAAGGGCCTTCCTGTGGCAATCAGCAGGGGCTTTCCCTGTATCCATCCTGTAGGACCCTAGAGGGGTCCTTTTCACCCACAGTCAGGACTGCCAAGGTCTATTTGAGACCCCAGGAAAAGGCCTATAACCCAGGAGGAGACTCAGATGCTGTGTTTCAGGATCTCACCTGTAATGAGGGGAGGGGGCTGGATCATCCTCAAGGGCCCTTCAGCTATAGAAACAAATTCTCCCTGGAGTTCAATTGCTGTGTTCCTGAATCTTGCAAGGGGGCAGCCTTTCACTCCCAGCTCACCCCAGGCTCTGGCTATCCCTGGGGCCCCTAGGCACCTTGGAGACACTGTGGTTGGACCCAGCAGCCAGGCCTGAGCACAAGGTCAAAGGGTTCCAAGAGGACAGTACTTGTTGCCCTTTGCTGAGCCTGGTGGGGTATGGAAATGGAAAGGAGAGAGTGGGAGAACTGTGAGTCTGAGGCTGACCCAAGGGTCAGATTGAGATGGGGGTGGCCTTTGTGTCACCCCTACTGCCCTGTGTCTCTCATCTCCAGACTGGACATCCAGCAGCTGCAGCTGGTGTGGGACACCCACTGGATCCTGCTGCCAGCCCAAGACCTCACCTTCCCCCACAGGCCCCCAAGCTGTAGGGTAGGTTGGTAGGGCCAGGCTGGTGGGTAGGCAGCTGATCTTGGCGGGGTCTGAGCTTCTGACCAAGCCTGCTCCCCAGCTGCTGAATGTGGACAATGCAAGTGAATCCAGAACTATGGTTGATGGCGGGAGCCTGAGGTCAGGGGCCCAGGGGTCAGCAATGAGCCTGCCAGCACCCCAGGAGCCACCAACATGGCCTTGTACCAGGTGAAGTTTTCTGCCACCAAGGAGGCCTGGGGAGCTGTATCGATTTGGAGAATGTCTCATCCATTTCTGTCAGAGAACGAGCAACCAGCCTAAGGAGGAGCAGTGGTTTTCCTGGGCTCCCTGGCAAGTCAGCAGCGGGGGTACGAGCAGGAAACAGGACTCCCAGCGACCAGCCAAGCATGGCTCCTGGCTCCTGGCCGCTCGGCCCTACACACTGCGTAGACCACTGTATTAGTCAGTGTTCTCGTTACTGAGACCAATGCCTGACACCCACACCATAGAGGACAGGGTGAGGAGTTTAATTTGGCTCACAATTGGGGGGTAGATTCGCTCCATGGTCCACTGGCTCCAGGGCAGAAATGGCAGAGTACTAGTGTATGGCAGAGAAAACTGCTTGGCCCTGTTGCCAGGAAACAGAGAGAGGGATGAGGGTGGGGTGCGCCCTCCAAAGGATCCCCCCCACCCCACCTTCCTGATAACCTCCCTCGGCCGAGTCTCTCCCTTTAGCTGCTCATTTAGCTGTGGACTTACCCCTGGAACAACTTACTGCTGAGTGTCACGTCCTCGTGGCCCAGTCGCCTTTCCAAAGTGCCTCCTCTGACACACCGGACCTTTAGGAGACACTCTAGATCTGAACCGTAACAGTCATACAACATGAGATTCCCGGTCCCCAAGCCCCGATGGCAGCACCCAGTCCTGAGAGCCTCTAGGCAGAGGCTGACATGCAGGCTAGAGAGTCAGATGTTAAACCAACAGGACTGTACGGTTGCCTGGGCCACTGCAGCCTCTCAGCTGCTGTCATTCTCAAGCTCAGCAACACGATGACACTAGAGTGTTCCACAACTCCCACAGCTGATGAGCCAGTTGGAAGCAGCCTGAGTCTCTCGATGCTTCTTTCCTACCTTGTCCCCTCGAGAATCCCAGCTTTTCCCTTTTCTGCTGAAAGGAGGCTTTAGGGATGTGCAAAGCAGGTGCGGTCTGTGAGCTGGCAAAGGCGGGGCAAGGGGGACACCTGAGGCTGCAGCTGGTGCTGTGGCAGCCCAAGACAAGCAAGAGCCCCCGTTTAAGGACACCTCCTCTCCCACCCTCCCTTGCTCCTGTCCGGGGTGAAAGAAAAACCTTTCACAGGGTCTGGGGTATGAAAGGCATCTGAAACCTGTAGCATCTAGCTGATCTCAGGGTCAAGAACTAGCAGGCTTGGGCCAGTGACATAGCTCAGCAGCCTAAAGCACCTGCTTGGGCAAGCTTTGGCAAGGGCTCAGGGACCGCAGTTTGATCTTCGGCACCGTATGCCACCGCCAGCCCTTCCCCTAGGGTGGACTGAGCTGGCCATTTGTATCTGTATATTCAAAATAATTAAGATAGATATACAGCTACATTCTCTTAATTCAATGAATGGAGAGATTTGTTCTAATAGTGTTTGTGGACAGGATATCATGTCTGCATCTTGTACAATGAATAACCACTAAGACAACAATATGCAATGTATTAATTATTGAAATTGTGCTAGTAATTGATTTTGAAGCTGTCCCATTGCTATTTGTTTCTCAATAAAATTATTTTTAAAAAAGCTTCATAGCACCATCTCATTAGCCCTGGAGACATGAGATTATCTTCTGTACTTAACAGGTCTAGAACCTGAGGCTCAGAGAACAGAAGTCACCTGACCCAGGTCCTAGAATTAAGTGTAGTGAAGTAGGGGTGGGATCCTGGTGTGTCTGGGGCCCAGTAAAAGTCTAACTGTGGTCACTGCTGCTGGGCTCTACCTAGCACACAACACAGAAGGTCACTTTCGTGGGAGAGGAGCTGGGGCTGAGTGAGGTAGAGGGATCTCCCAGTCACAGGGCTGGAGAAGAGCAGCACGCAAAACCACTGCTCTTCCTTGAACAGGGAGACTGGATTTGGCTGAAGAAATTTGAAGTGGGCACAACTCCTGAGCTGCGCCTTTGTTGCCTCAACCTCCTGAGAAATGTAGGGATGTTCGGATGAGGTGGGGATTCTCTGTCCAAGGTGGTCTGTGTGGACTGATCCCCGCTCAATGCAGAAGCTTCTGGCTTCAGAGAGAGTCCACGTGCCATCATGATCTCTGCCCTTAGCCAGCAATTCAGCTGCACTTAGAAACCATCGCTGTTACCACTGCCCCCACACACACCCTAAGGTCACATCACCATGCCAGAACGGTCCTCACCACAACCACCAGGGACACAGTCACCTCCAGGAGAGTCACCTCGTGGCATCTCAATGCCATCAGGGGACGCAGGGCTGCACCCTTCCTCCGTCTGCCCACCCAGGCATGCATCTGCTATTCTTGAGCACTCTCATGTACCAGATTCTGTGCTTTGGCAAAGAGAAGCTCTTTTCTTGGGGAAGCTTCCGGTCACTTGTTATCACTATCCAAGAAAGCACCTTTGCCTGGAAATTGTCCGCACCCCAAGAGGCACTGTGCAAGGCGGACAGAACCCAAGAAAATCACCAACAAGATCCTGCCTCCGAGGAACATGAGCTTCCTTGGGAAACAGAGCCAAGGGTGTCCAGCTGCAAGGGAACTGGAGAGGTGCAGGGATCACACAATATAACCCAGAACCATTCCTGCCAAGCAGTGTGCCTTCAACTAATGATGAATTTTCTTAGCTTCTTCACTTTCGCTATTTTGCATTACTACTTCCAACATCATCACTCTGAAATAGTTTGGAGAGATTAACGAACTGGAGATAAATAAGGGCCAGCCAAATCACTCAGTGGATTAAAGCACCTGCAAGCACGTGCGGCGGCTGGTGGTTCGATCCCCAGGCCTGCTGTGCTGGCCCCGTACCTGGGGCAGGCTGAGAAGGCAATTGAGACTGGGCGTGGTGGTGGCCTGTAATCCCAGCTCTTGGGAGGCGATAAACAGGTGGATCACTATGAGTCCAGTCTAGTAGTGAGACCCCGAACACCCTATAGACCCTTCCCTAAAATATAAAAAAATTAAAAATAAAAAAAAAATAACTGGAGATAAAGTTAGGCATTTCCCAGTGGTCATCTTGCAGCCTGCGTAAGAAGATCTCTGTCTCTCTGTGTGTCTGTCTCTGTCTCTCTCTCTGTCTCTGTCTCTCTGTGTGTCTGTCTCTGTCTCTCTCTCTGTCTCTGTCTCTCTGTGTGTCTGTCTCTGTCTCCATCTCTGTCTCTCTCTCTCTCTCTCTCTCTCTCTCTCTCTCTCTCTCTCAGAAAGTGTTGAGCTATATCCCAGTGTCTTAAATTTTTAATTTTGAGGCCAATTTTCCCTCAGTTTCCCAGGGTGGCCGCAGACTTGCAATTCTGTTGCCTCTGCCTCCAACACAGGCCTGTGGTCCCTCAAATCTGGGAGTTGCTTAGGTTCACCATAACACTTCTCAGAACCTTTGCCATGCTATCCTATCCACCACTGTGTAAGATTACCCCAAAAGACAGTGGCTAAAAACAATGACCATTTTATATCTTAAAATTCTGTGGAGAAGAAACTTTGGCAGAGCTCAACTAGGTAATTCTATTTTACTTTGTCTTAGCCAGAGAAAGATTCAATAGTCCTCAGCTAATAAACAGGCTGTCAGAAGTTAGTAAACTGGGCCACAGGCAAACGAGGTACATTGCTTGATTTGACAAATGGAGTTTTATTTATTTGTTTATTTTTGTATTTGGTTGTTGCAAGGCCTCACCATGCAGCTGAGACTCATAGTAATCCTCCTGCTTTTAGTCTCCTCAGCACTGGGATTACAGGAGTGGGCCACTACACCTAGACCCCCCCAGGGGGTCGGGTGGACTGGCACAGCATGTGGTGCCAGGGATTGAACCACGGTCTCTGTGCTTGTCTAAGGTTGCCTAAGCAGGTGCTTTAGTCCACTGAGCTACCTCACTGGCCCCTGAAGTGTTTTGTTTTTTAAAGAGGCATAAAAAATTTATTAGTCAAGAATTTTAAAGTACATAGTTAAATAGAGTACAGGCCCTCAAGAGAGAGGTACCTTACAGTTAGAAGTTGGAATATTTATGTGTTTTGGCAGTAGAAATCTGCGGAATTTAGAATCCATAAATGAAATTCTATTGGCATAAAGCCATGCTCTTTCCTGTTGGCTGCGGCTGTTTTCATACCACAGTGGCAGAAGTGAATTGCTGAGACAGAGACCCACAAAATCTAATATTTACTCTCTGGACCTTTCCAGAAAACTTGGCTAGTTCTCAGTCCAGAGGCCCTAAAATGACTTCACTCATGCTCATTGCCTTGGCAGGAAAGTTGGAAGGCTGGGCTCTGCTGGATTCATCTCCCCCCCGCCCCCCGCCCCCCGCCTTTCTGCAACTTCAGGGCTTCCTTGTGTGGCCTCTCGGGGACGGTAACTTGGGGTAGAAGACTTCTGACCTAGGGTCTTCAAGCAACAAAAGAAAGGGTAACAAGCGACAGGAAATGAAGGCTGCTAGCCCTGCACGCAGCCGCGCATGGGACAATTCCCACTGCATTCAGCTGGTCATGGTAGGCCCAAGCTACTCCCTCGCTCACGGAGAGAGGCTGCGCTGAACTTCTGCATATCCTGAGGAGCCCGTGAAACTCCAGTGAGAGACAGTGCACAGGCCCTCCCTCAGCCGAGCCCAGAACTGCTTTTGTGAGCAAGGCTGTGCTCTATCTGTCCTGCTTGGCAAATGCCAGTGTCCCTGACTAGGTCCAGCTCCTTCTTTTTCTGTCTCTGTGTGTCTGTGGTGTCTGTGTGCCTACATCTCTGTCTCTGT